ACTTCCTCAAATAATTCTCTATTTAAAAATGCGTTGTTGACATATAATTGTACCAAGTACTACTTTTATAGCTGCCAGTGCTAACAGCAGTTTTACAGTCACAATTTTTGCCACATGAGAGAAAGTATCGAAGTAATCCAGCTCTTCCTGCTATGTGTAACATTTTGCAACCAAACGTGCTTTATATCTTTCAATATTACCATTTGATAGGTACTTGATTTTGTATATCCACTGACACCCAACAGAATGTTTTCCATTCAGCAAAGTAACCACTAACCGTGTCCGATTTTGGTCCATAGCATCTAATTCAAGTTTCATGGCTTCACACCGCTGATGATCTTTCACTGCCTGATGGAAAAATTGCGGTTCATGATGAGCTGAGATGTTTAGGACCATATTTTTGTATGTAAACATCAACTTATCATAAGACACAAGTTGACCAATATGATAAGGTATCTGAGAGTATGATTATGAACTTTGAGCCATCAAATTGCAATAGAAATCCTTTATATATGTGGGAGGTCAAGTTATCCTCTGTGATCTTTTAACTTCAATGTTTTGAGTCACATTATTGTTCAACTATACGTTCATCATCATGTGTTATTGGCTCAGCTGGAGATGAAAGTCATGATTTCATTGTTGGTACCTGCTGCTCATGATTTTCCTCAAGAACTGCATCAGATGGTTCTTGATGAATAGACAATGAAGATGTTGGCAATACTAGATTAGGAAAAGGATCAATTAGATGATTTTCCTCTAACACTACATGAAATGGAAAGATATCTTCATGAAACATCACATCTCGTGATAAGAAAACCTATTTTGAAACTACATCGTATAGCTTATATCCTTTGACACCAGAAGGATATCCCAAAAACACATACATCATAGCTCTTGGCTGAAATTTACTTCTATAAGCAATCAATGTAGAAGCAAAATCTAAGCATCCAAATACCTTCATTAAGGAGTAATCTACAGACTCCTTATAAAGAACTTCGTATGGTGTATTGTGATCTAAGATTGGGGATGGTATTCTATTGATAAAAAAGGTAGCTCCTAACACACATTCTGATTAGAACTTTATAGGAAATCTTGACTGAAAATATAATGCCCTTGCAACATTCAAGAGATGTTGTGCTCACATTCCACCACCGAATTTTATCGAGGCCTTTCTACACAAGTGAATTGATGTAGCATGCCTTTCATATTAAAGAAATCTTTGAACATCAATTCAAGAGCATTGTCAGATCGAAAAACCTTTATTATGGCATTGAATTGTGTTTCAATCATATTGTAGAAACGAGGTATCATATTAACAGCATCTAATTTTTGCTTCAACAAATATAGCCAAATGAATCGTGAACAATCATCCACCAATGTTAAAAAGAATTTGTGTCATGTGTATGATGTAGCTTGGTATGTCCCCCAATTATCACAATACACTTGATCAAATGTATTTCTTGAGAAATGATTGTTTGACTTAAAAGATATCCTTTTTTGTTTGGCAAGAGGGTAAATATAACATGGACAACGTTTATTCAATTTTGAAGTATCACAAGAAATTTTATTTTTCAAGTATTCTAACTTTATAAAAAAATAAATGTCCTAGTCTATTGTGCCATAGTTGGACAAATACATTGTTTACAAGAGTATTAGATACAAATTCATCTTCAGAAGTCGAACTCAAATCTTTGATGTCAAGAACATACAAGTCTTGCAGCCTATTACCCTTGCCAATCAACTTCTTGGTTATGGTTTCCTGGATGATGGAGTGATCATGAGATAAACCAACAATGAGATGAGATCTTGTGCTAGAGCACTAACAGATAATAGGTTATACTTGAATTGATGTACAAATAGGATACCATGCAGTACGAGATCAGGATTTAGTCTAAGTTCACCACATAGTTTAACAGGTATTTGTGTGTTATTCAGCCGAGTGGCTGTGGTATTATCCAGTTTCCTCACTGACATAAATGCAAAAGCAACAGAAGATACATGTCTGGTTGCACTACAATCCACTATCCATATGTTCTTGGATGAGAATGTAGGACTTTTTGATATGGAATAACATATACCTGTAGCATATGATATTGCATTGTTGTCATGATGATCAGATGTTCCTGCGACAGAGCTTGAAGCTAGATGAGATGATAGCATGGACATCAATTGCTGGTATTGATTTGGATTTAGATTTTGAACAAAGCTTCTAACTCTAGCTTGTTGAATGTGCTATCCATTTTCATTTTGAGAGATTAATGCATTTACAAAAATCTGATTGACCTCACTGGTACTAGAATAACTTTGAGAATTGTCTTTTGATCTATACTTATAACTTGGTGGATAGCCATGTAACTTGTAACGTGTATTAGTAGAATGTCCATGTAAGTTGCAATGAGTACAATAAGGCATTTCCTTATTTCTATCTCCTCCATTATTGCCAAATCTTGAAGCACTGTTATATGTTCCAGTCTTCCTATTGTCTGTCTTAAAGGCAAATGCAGAGGTTCATTTGGATAATTTCCAGATGTCATCTGATTACCAATTTTCCTCTAATTTTTTTCTTGAGAAACTAATGTGAAAACTTGTTCATTTGAGGTAATAGATCCATCAGTAATACTGTCCTGTGATTTGTGAGAAAGATTCGTGTAATCCCATTTGAAACGACATAGTATACTCAATTTGATAGTAATTATTTAACTCCTTCACACCACCACATGTACATTTTTCACAGTTGCATGTAGGCCGATAGTTGCTCAGTTCCTCCATATGGTTTTGATCTAAGTGTAATACACTTAGGGCTTGTTTGTTTTTTATTCTCAAATTCTACAGTAAATCAATTCTCATTTTCAACTACACAGTTTTCAAAATAAAATAATATTTTTCATCACATCAATAATTTTTTTTTCTTTTTCAACAACACATTTCCCATTATATCACTATTCAAAATCAATTCTTCCCCCAAAAATCTCTCCCAAACAAGCTCTAAATGTAAAATTATGTTATTCATTTAATTGAATTTGTAATTTAACGACACTAAAGATGCCAAATAAACTGATGTTAATAAATCAATTCTCATTTTCAACCACACATTCTTCAATAAAATAATATTTTCCATCACATCAATACTTTTTTCTTCTTTTTCAACCACACATTTCCCATCATATCACTATTCAAAAATCAATTTTTCTCCCAAAAATCTCTACCAAACAATCACTTACACTATCTTGATCTTGAACCAGATTCATCAAGTTTCTTCTTAATTGGAACACACGCGATCCATTCTTCTGCTGGAACCTGTCCTTTAAATCACTTCAGATCTCGTATGCTGTTACAACATATATCATACTTGCAAAAATCTCTTTTGATACTAAGTTCAAAATCCATGAAATAACAATATTGTTATTTTTAATCCATGAGTTGAGCAATTCAGAATTCGCACCGTCGGGTTTAATTATGGATCCATCTATGAATCCAAGTTTGTTTTTCTTGGATAACGCAATGGTCATGGCATGACTCTAGGAGGCATAGTTATCTCCAGTGAGCTGCTGTGACACCAACATCAAGCCGGACCATCGGAGGGATGAAGAAAAAATGGACTTGAAGGATCATCAATTGATGATATGTTTACTGTCGTTCTTAGCTCTTCCAATTGACGTGATTCCATTTGATTTCAGATGCTAGATTCAACAATAGATGGAATAAACGAATGAATACAGAATGAATATGCAGAACTATAATTGCTCTGATACCATATTAAAGCTAAGAAGAAAATGAAATGAACTCTATTTCATTCATTCTTGTTCAATCATCAATCTGTACATCAGTTGTGTATTTATAATACGATAGCCTAAGGATTTAGTTATGCTAGTTGCTTATACATCAACCAACAAACCATTCACTAACTATTTTAACTATTAACTGATATAACATCCCAACTAACAACAATCATGTGCATGCTCCAACTTAACTAAGTTAGTTCCAGTTCAATTCTAGCTCCAGCTTCAGCTTGTGCTCCCATCTCTAGTTTCAATTACTTCAGCTTCGGTTTTAGAGTGTGCTTTGCTCTAATAGAGTGTAATGACATATTTGTCCGTAGTAGCTAATAAGATGAATCATGCTACATGTACTGAATTTTTTTTACCGAATCTTTTACCTACTACTTACAATGGGGATGTGGACCACATTATCGAAATTTTTAAATGCACGCGGGCCCCGCGCATTATATGAGAGGAGGTAATATAAATTACAAAATACTTGATAAACTCTCAAATTTAATCATAATAAAAAATGGGTTTAAGAATTTAACCAAGGTTGCTAATTCTTCTTAGATTTCGTTTGGTATGACTCTTGTTTTTGCTATATATAGAAGAGTTTTTCGAAAAAATTATCTTAATTTTTGTTTGAAAACTAATTTTAAAAGAGTTTCATGTTCCGGAAGTGCTTCTAGATGAAAATACATTAGACCAACTTCCTTCAAATCTCTTTTAGCTCGAAGTAGCTTTTTTTTTTTTTTCATAAAATTACCGTTTGAAATAACTTATGTTTTTTATTTTGCTTCATGTACAAAAGTTTTTGGAGGAAGTTATCTTAATTTTTTTGTTGAAAACTAATTTTTAAAAGAGTTTTCTGTTCCGGAAGTGCTTTAAAAAACCTCTTCTAACTAGAAGAAACACTTTCACAAAATTAGCCAAACAGATTCAAAAGCAGTTTTTGAGTCTTAAGACCTCATTTTGACTTTTCAAAAATCATATAAAAGGGTCCTAATTAAATAAGTTCAAAAGCAGTTTTTCAGTCTCAAAACTCCTTTTGACTGATGAGATGCCAAGCCAAACTGCCCTTACTCCTCCTCTATATAAATGCTCCCACTCACTCCTCGTCTCTTCACTACCCTCAACTTACACTCTCTATTTCACTCTCTAAACTGCCAAATAACTACGAAAAAAAAACTCTCAATTTGCAGCCATTAAAACTCTAATACGAACCGAAAATTTTAAAAAATGGCGTCTGAGTACAGTTTTCTACTTGTTCCATCAACTGGTTATTCCTCAACCGGATTGAGCTTTGAGGCTTTGATGTGTTTTCTTGTGTTTCTTGCTCTGTTTTCCTTCTGGCTGACCCCTGGTGGACTTGCATGGGCGATTTCGAAGGTCCGAGCTCGAGCCAGAGCCGCCATTCCGGGCCCCTCTGGTCTGCCGGTTCTGGGATTGGTTTTCGCCTTCACTGGCTCTCTTACTCATCGAGTTCTGTCGAAGATTGCTCTGAGGTTTAAGGCTACTCGTTTAATGGCTTTCTCTGTTGGGTTCACACGTTTCATCATCTCAAGCCATACTGAGACAGCCAAGGAGATTTTGAACAGTTCTGCTTTTGCTGATAGGCCTGTTAAAGAGTCTGCCTATGAGCTTCTGTTCCACAGAGCAATGGGTTTTGCTCCATATGGAATGTACTGGAGAAATTTGAGGAGAATTTCAGCTACCCATTTGTTTTGTCCCAAAAGAATAGCCTGTTTTGGTAACATCAGGAATGAAATCGGCCTCAAAATGGTGAACCAAATCGAGCTTTCCATGGAGAAAAATAACCATGTCGAGGTGAAAAAGACTCTTCATTTTGGGTCCTTAAACAATGTGATGATGACTGTTTTTGGAAAGTGCTATGAATTCAACGCTGAAAATGATCAAGATGGAGCCTTGCTCGAGAGTTTAGTGACTGAAGGCTATGAATTGCTTGGGAAATTCAACTGGACTGATCATTTTCCTATTCTTGGCTGGCTTGATTTGCAAGGACTGAGAAAAAGATGCAGAAATTTAGTAGCTAAAGTTAACATCTTTGTAGAGAATATCATTGAAGAACACAGATTGAAGAGGACAGAAAATAGAAGTTTAGCAGATTCCGATGATTTTGTTCACGTTTTGCTTGATTTGGAGAAGGAAAACATGCTGTCTGATTCAGACATGGTTGCTGTTCTTTGGGTATTTTTTTTGATTTTATGTTTTCACATGAATGCATGCGTTCGTATAATTTTTAGTGCATCACAAAAAGTGGTTAAAAAGTTTGGTAGGAGTCAACAATCAACTTTAATCACGTATATCGTGTGATCCACACCTTTTTAATTCAATCACACATTTCATCAAATTTTATGAAAATCTGTTAAAATTTTATCAAAAGCTTTGTCATCCCCATCTCATGTTGTGTCTTGATTATTTAGTTGAGCTTACTAATTAAGCACGAATACTTTTTTTATTACAGGAAATGATTTTCAGAGGGACTGATACTGTGGCCATTCTTTTGGAATGGATACTGGCTAGAATGGTTCTTCATCCTGATATTCAAGCCAGGGCTCAATTTGAACTTGATACTATTGTTGGGACTAATAGAACAGTGACTGATTCTGATCTCCCTAAACTGCCCTATCTTCTAGCTATTGTGAAGGAAACCCTCAGGGTGCACCCTCCTGGTCCCCTCCTCTCGTGGGCCCGTCTTGCAATTCACGATACTTATGTAGGACACCACTTCATCCCAGCTGGCACTACGGCCATGGTTAATATGTGGGCCATAACGCACGACCAAAAGGTCTGGTCCGAGCCAAATGCTTTTCGCCCCCAAAGATTTCTTGATGAGGATTTTTCCATCATGGGGACTGATCTTAGGTTGGCACCTTTTGGTTCCGGGAGGAGGGTTTGCCCCGGTAAGACGATGGGCCTTTCTACTGTCCATCTCTGGCTAGCACAATTGCTTCAGAAGTTCCAGTGGGTGGCTTCGGATAATGGAGTCGACTTAGCCGAATGCCTCAACTTGTCATTGGAAATGAAGCAGCCATTGGTGTGCAAAGCTATTCCTAGGATTTCTTGAAGGAAGTGTGCAGTTGTCAAATGTTTTGGTGGACTGGTGTGTTATCAATTAGTTTTCTCTGATTGGCAGTTATTAATACTCTATTAAGATTACAAAAAATCCCAAAAAACAGAAAAAAAAAATTATGGGCTTTTGTTGTGTTAACAAGAAAATTAACCTTTGGTAAGTTTTTGTTTTGGGGTTTGTGGTGAATCTGTCTGGTTAGAAATTTCATGCACTGTACACAGCTTTTCTTGAATGGAAATCAATGCAATATTAATATCTTATATATTCTTAAATTTTCACTTTCAGTGTCCATTTAAAGTTTTTGTCAAACACAATTTATGCATGATTTTGGGTTTTTTTTTTTTTTCATTTATTCGATAAAATTGGAATGATATACAAAAGATAATGAGGTGAAGAAATATAGTCGTGCAATTCAATCAAAATTTCTCTAGTTTTTGCCCGGATTTGTACAAACCGTGTTCTTGTGAAAATAACAAATATGCAATGTTTGGGAAGATTTTAACATTTGAAACCCAATGGAAAACAACTATTTTGGTAGAAACTTAAAACCATATTAATTCTATTTCTATGCGCCAAGCTAATTACATTTACTTTAATAATGTCAATGTTAGGTTTTGTGACAAAAATGCTATGTGATTTAGAAGTTTGTTGTATGAAAGAAGCTTGTTTAATCTTGGTTTAGAAGTACGGTTTGATTGGAATCAAATTTCATGGCGTTTTGAGAGTTTGATTGAATTAAAGACTTGGAGATGAAATAAAATACCTTGGGACGAAAAGAAGAAAAAAAATTAGCAATGTCATGCAAGGGGCGCCGGCACCCCTGAACGGGGCAAGGATTTGGTTTCTATAAATACTCAATAAGACATTGACACTTGTAAAGAAGAAAAAAGCAAAACTCAAAAGAGATTACAGCAATTAGATCTTTGTACATACATTAGAAACAAGAGAAGATTGTTTATATTAGATTGAGACGATCAAAATCTTGTAAGACAATTGTTTGTTTCTTGGTATAATAAATTCTCATATTCCATAATTTTTCTTGATTGTTGTGTGATCCATTAAATTTTAGATTGTCCATATTTTTCGTCTTTAATTATTTGGCTGATTTTTCAACAAGTAATATTAAAACGTTCTTGATATCGGGTTGATTCATAATAGTCAACTATGGATCGACATTTGACTTTTAATTCGAGCAACTTTATAACCTTTTATATCCAAATTGTGCTGCATGCACATGCAATTTCAAGGTACAATTCCTTCTTAAAACTAGTAGAAAACTTTAAATTTTAGCTATGTTTGGTGGTCATTCTGATGTAGGATGGGTCCAGCCCGCATTGTTCCAGAGGGTATTTTAGTCATTTATCGTAATGGTGTCGGAATGAACTGAAATTTGGTAGTCTGATTGGAAACAGCTAGAAAATTGAATTCGACGTAAAGCCCGATATCTCTGGAATTTAGCCAAATTCCTTCATTTAAGCCTTTAAATCGTTATTTTTAGTATAATCCTTTTTGATTTTCTGCTAATTTTGGCGCATTTTGATATTTTCTGTTTTTAGGGATTCTTATAATGCCTATATAAAGGCTTTTTAGTGATTTCCGTAGAACTCAATGAATAATATTGCATGAATTCCAGAAATCGTTTTGTTCTTTTGTCTTCTAGAACGATATCTAGACTAATTTCGTTAATCAGAACGATATCTGATCTAGCCTCCCATCTTCACTGCGTCACATTCTTCAAAAAAAAAAGAAGAAGAAGAGTTGAACAGCGTTTTAGGAGAACGTGTGGTTAAAAAGTAGGAAAAAAGATTTGGATATAAGTACAAAATATATTATTGTGATGAATGCGTGGTTGAAAATGATTCTATAGAAAAAAGACTTAAAAAAAGAATGGGAATCAAACCGGACTTATTTTAAACTACCATTGTACAAAATCTTCTCTTTTCTCTTCGAAGTACAAACTTGTTTTCTTCAAACCATTTAATTATTTAATCGTAACAATTCCTTTTCCTTTAAACACATATGCCAACAAAATATTCATCAAGCTGGTGGAATACATGAAGAAGCATTGATTTATTGACCTAACAAATCACAATCATATCAAATCAAATCAAATCAAATCAAATCACAATTAAGAAACCATGGGCATATCAACTTTTATTTCCTAATTACTCCACATGTAATTTACGAGCCCTTTATTAATTTACATTTCTTTTGCCCTTCTTTTTACTCTCTTTATTCTTTCACATATACTTTGTTCTCTATTCCTCTCGTGCATTTTTTAATGGAAGAAATAAAGCAAACTAATTGCATGCTTGGACAAGCTTAAAATTCAATTAAAATTGAAAAAATAGTCGTTATTGGGTCCCACCTGTCTAATAAAAGTCAACAATATGATTTTAATCCCTACCTAACACGCCCTAAGATTCTCTTTTAGGAACGTGGGTTATTTAAGATAGAGATTTTTTAATTTTTACTTTTTAATTTTTTTATTATTACAATGTAGAGCTTGGCTTGATTGAGGAATAAGAACCTAAGTCCAATAATGATATGGCTTTTGTTGGGATGCAAATCCTTTTACAAGAATATTTAATTAAGAGTCATACATGAAAGAAAAAGCTTCTCTCCTTTTATTAACCAGCATTGGCATTTCAATATCCCTAAATTTCGATTTTTACTGTTTTTTCCCAATGCAACTTGCTTTGCCTAATCTTTTTCCCAATCACCTCATCTTTATTGAGCCACATTATTTTGTAAGAATGTATTTTGGAATAGTAGATTGATGGAGAGTGTGGTTGAAAAAGAAGGAAAAGTTATTGATGTGGTGAAAAATATTATTTTATTGAATAATGTGTGGTTGAAAATGAATAGAAAAATGAGAATGTAAATTTTAACGTGTCTCAAATAGGGGTTGATATGCTTTTTCCAAGTTCTAACTCATGTGCCAACCACGTACACATATATTACTAGCTTGTTTCAAACTAGAGAACGGTAAATAATATTCGTAAAAAAGAAGTTATTATTTTTCATTGTACTGCACGTGTACTAAAAATGTTGAACCGAGTTGCAGTGTCAGGGGGTTGGTGACACCCCCCCTGACAGATTACTCACATTGGGGGGAGGGGGGCTTTTTTTTTTTTCATTTTTTATTTTGGCCGGGCCCCACGTCGGTCCCACCCTCTTGTGAGGGTCGGTCACCCAAGTGGGCAGCCGTTTTCTGGCAAAGGAGCAAAATTCAAAAATGTTTCACACGTTTTCATGTACTTTGAGGGTTTATGAATTCAACTATGCTACAAGTACAATTTTTGACATCAAATTTGACAATGTGCCATGTGTTGAAAGTTAAGTGGCCAGCTTTTAAACACCACACACTTTCCCGCCCATTCGAATTTGAATTAACGTAGATTGTCAAATTCCTTGTCAACCATGAATTGTACACAAATCATTATTATTTATTTTAGTTGGGATTGGCCCACTTTGGTATTAAATTTTAGCAAGTTGAAAATTAATTATTCAATGTATGGGAAAGGAATCATTTAATCCCCACTTTGAATTTCAGACAACTGGCTGTGATTATGCCCACACTATTTACCTTTTCAATTAATTGAATAAAGGTGAGAATTAGAATCCAAACAAGTATAGATCTGCTGAATAATTGTTGGCTAAGCTATAGGAAGTGACTCACAAGTGACCTTAAAAATGGTATATACTAGGAGTGTTAAATGGCTTAATCATCGATCGATTTAAAACCTAATATTAAAAGCTTCTGATTTTAATTTTTTTCTTNAAAATTTGGGTCAAATATAAGGCTATGTTTGGTACCAATTCTCATTTTCAACAGTAAATCAATTCTCATTTTCAACCACACATTTTTCAATAAAATAATATTTTCTATCACATCAATAATCTTATTTTCTTTTTTAACCACACATTTCTCATCATATCACTATTCAAAATCAATTTTCCCCCCAAAAAATCCCTAACAAACACACACTAAATAACGAGAGTACTCCAAATTTTAAAGATAAACCTGATTCACGTGTGCAAGACTAATCGTGCAAACAAAGATATCAAGCCATTCTATCTATTCTCCTTCATAACTCGGAGGTAACTATGCTGCAAACATACATACCATTGGAGAGGAATAGAATTACAAAGTGAAAGAGTGAGAATCCAAATTTATTTTCATTCATGGCCACAAGTTAAGCATTCGCGGATTTTCGTATCAGCGAAAATGATATAGAGGAGATTATGGGGTCCTTTAGAGTCATCGACTTATTCTTATCTGGCACGTGATGAGAGCGTGACTCCTCCCATTTCAGAAAAATGAAAAAGCTTCCAAAAGAACTAACAATCATCTAATGGGCATCTTATATATTCCATTGAAGATGTGTGAATTGGCAAGGGAATGTAATGAAATGGACCAAAAGAGATATTATTCCATTGAAGACCAATAGGGTTTTTTGCACTACACTTCTTTTTTCCCCTTTATAAATTCCAACAATGCCACTGATTTCGAATATAACTACACTATCTATAGGCTTGTGGCTAATAACTCCAAATTCTCATAGAAGCAGCAGCAAAAAGAAAGTGGGGAAAAAGAAAGGATTTATGATGGCAATGAAATGCAAACTAAAAGTAAATAAAAATACAACAGAATTCAAATCTTGCATGCTTACATATTTGTACAATATTTAAAAAATGAGCACTAAGTTTTATATTATGTATTCATTAAACGAACTAAATAATTGCAATTCTATGTTTAAACTGGATTGTACATGCTCAAAAGTATAAATTTAGAAAAAGATACTGTAATTTTGTCCATTATATTGTAAAATGGTTATTGACAATAAGTCTGAAAAAATATCTAAAAACATCAAATTTAGATATTTGTATCATGTCGAAGTAAGTAAGGAACCATGGCATATATGTTTGGAATTGATTCCATTTTGAGAGAGTTGATCTAATGTGGAGATAGGATATAGTAAAGTGTTGGC